TTTCATATAAGTTGTCGTCACGTTAAGGATAATTAGGGACACAATTATATTGTACTTATTTTGAAAGCGTATGCTTGTGACATTCCCATACATCTATAAATGTAATGTTACTATAAATGCCATAATTATAGTTTACATGAGGCTCTTTTTTGAGTTCTGATGTTACTAATTGACCATGCTTGTTGCACCATAATATAATAGGGATAGATTAAATAAAACATTAAGGGCCTGTCCCACCACTGGCTGATACAGGCGCAGATTGTATAAACGTCCCTGAGAGATAAGGTAATAAAATCTGATATATTTATGACATATTTTACACGATGGATTGTTATCAGACAATTTATAATTTAATGGGACAGGTTACATTATTTAACTCTCATCTCATTAAATAGTATGGTGCACTTTTACTTATTACAAAACTGGTTACGTATAGCCGCTAGGTGGCGCAATGGGGGACTTCTATGCAGTTACCCACGTACCACCCACACACCATCCCAGCCTCTCCCAATCTTGTGAAACGTATCTGTCTCTATCGTTTACCTTAAGTTAGAGAGGAACGGTTGAAAATTTTGTTGTCGAATCGATAAAATTTCTCAACGATCACGCAGCACTGGGAGAGTATAATCAGCTAAGCTATTATTACGACAGCCCACGCGTTTTACTCTTGCAAACCTCTGTCAAGGGTTTAATGCCCTTTTATGACTTAGATTTGAAATGTGATCGTTTTTTAATAGGTGCATTACCCTTACGCGCTGTAAATTCTATCACAGCGAAATATTAAAATTGACTTTTGTTTATCGACCTTTCTAACTTATTTGTAAATGTTTGGATATATGTTCCCATGTAAGTTGAGAACGGCTGAACAGATCAGGACATATATTCCCGGAAAAAATATACCTTTACCCAGATATATTAATTTTGATTCTCTTAGTGTAGAACGTTAGTTATGAATGTGGAGGGGTATACCAATTGAGGTAGACCTAAAAAGAGATGGATGGATTGCGTGAAAGATGACATGGTCAAGAAGGGAGTGATGACTGAGATGACGGATGATAGAGTGCTTTGGAGGACGAAAATCCGGTGCGCCGACTCTGCGGGAGTAGGATAAGGCAAGGGAGATGATGATGAAGATGATTCTCTTAGTGTAGAATAAGTAATTTGTATCACTTTGATGCTACTGATGACTGCATTGGTTAACTTGTTATCTAACACAGTCTTATGTCTTATCTAGAATTGCCTAAAGCAAGCTATGTTCCTATACATTGTACATCTCTTGAAATATTACTGCCTGGTATGTTGTGGGGGCGATACAGGCCATGAGCAACTGGGAACGCACTTATCATTGGATTGTCTAATAAAATGTACATTAAAATGAATACTCCAAAGATTTAAAGGATAAATAATTTGTGCCCTATTTACGACACGTTTCTACATAGTCTTAATGTTATAACGCTTCTAACGATTAACTTCTTTTTAGTGCATATGGGAATGTAAATGGTGGTAACAAAAACAAATATTTTACAGATAATTTTGCTTTAAAAATTAAAAAGCGTCACATATCTAGCTTCTGCGACAATCTATAGGAACATTTTCCTCATTTAAATCGTGATCTCAATTGTACAAAAATATAATAAATAGCCGTTTCCAATACAAACTAAACACACGTCTCAAGTGTTAAAGTCATGCGGATATAAAAGAAGCGGTACTAGTTAACGTAATTGGGTGTAGACCGGTTTGGCTGAGGTGGTCCACACTACATAAAAATCAGATGTTTGACCATGCGACACAATTGCCTATGCTATTAGCTGAATATTCAATCAATATGAAAACTATTATTTTAGTTATTTTGAATTATATTACAATTTGATGTTTTCTACTTTAGGTCCTCGGGCTAGTTTGTTTTCATTTAATTTTCGCAATCTTCCAACATACAACAACATAACTCATATCAGTTAACCAAAGAGGTAGGCAGAGACCAACACACATAGCCTATTAACTTTTGTATTTTTAATTCCACGCGGACGGAGTCGCGGGCGAAAGGCTTCATAAAAATATCTTCAAATAAGATTGGTAAGATAAAGGCCTAAAATCAAAGTCAATCAACTTCAGTCTCATAACTGATTTAGTTATGTTAGAATCTCTATAGTTAAAGACGATCTTTGCCGTGAATACAAGCTTGTTCCTTTGTTGGCCATTGAATCATTGTTATTATCCTTGTGCAGTTCGTTCACAAGCAGCGGCCGAGATGCACATTAGTGACTAACGCGACACGCGGACAAATTACCAATCACGCATTCATGCAATTCTTAACACGGTAACGGGTTATTTCTATTACAATGCTATTTTGTTTTGTCTGCAAATAAATATATTACAATCTTTTGATATAAGATTCACGTAAAAAATTACGCGATTCGTTTGTGATTTTGTTAATAAGCATGGAAACTAATTGGTACGAAATTATCACTTATTTTTAAGATCATGGCGAGAAATAATAGATGAAATGGAAATATTTGGTAGAGACAAAATTAAAACTAGAAAACATTCATGGATGCTAACTTTGTAAAGAACAAACATAAGTACTCTAAGTACATATAAAATATCAAATCAGATAAAGTTTTAAAGCTTGTTTTTTTTTCAATGCCGTTGCGATCGTGTGATAAATCAAAAAATAACAGTTCAATGACCTCTTAAACGTATTGATGGCCAGTACGATCGGCGATGTTCTCTACTTTTTTTTAAACGACAAATACAAAGAACCAGTCGTACTGGGCAGTTTATCTGTGACGATATTTATTTAATTACTAAGCTTTATACAATCTGTCCTTGTAATGTCTAGTCTAGACTGCGGAATGTTGAAAGAAAGTATTGTTAATGAATAGTTATGAATGGTTGACATTGTCACATATGTTTATAGAAATGGTTAAACAATTTTAGAGCGGGCGCACACCTTTGACTCAACTATCGCACAACAGTTGTGCGATTGTCGATTGTTTCGCAGCCTATTCAACTGTTTTGTTGCATGTTGCAACTAAAAATCGAGTAGTGTGCACACCTCCATATAAGCTTATAATAATCAAAGCGAGACCTCAAGAATCAAGTCTTCACATTACATAAACCTCAATTCTATTCTAAAAAATAATGATAGTTCGTGTGAAGACAGGTAAATATTATGTAGAACTTCAAAATACATTGTCCCGGCATCGATCTCTGATTCTTTACGTGAAATTGTAAAACAAAATAGTAAATTTTTCAAGTAATGAAAACGAACTATTTAATGGTATTTTTCACATGAGGAAAACAAATGAATTCATTGACGCCAACATGGGTAATTTACCTAACATAAGAACTAAATTCACTGGATTTTCTTGTATGACTAATATTGACGTGGATCACATACTTATATCATGTATGGAAATATGACTAAGGCAACAGTATTAGTACAGTAAACTATAAAACATTACTCGTTTCAAATTCAAATTAATATTCCGGAACAATTAACTCGAATCATACCACCATCAACTTTTATTTATACAGTGTCACCTCATTTAGGGCCTGTCCCACCATATAGATGTCTGATAGAGACTCAGATAACTTAAAAATGCCGTCACTGTCAGATAAGGTAACAAAGTCCGATATTTCCGTCACATTTTATACATCTTGGATTGTTATCAGACAATTTGCAATTTGGTAGGACAGGCCCTAAGCCTTCCTTTATGCTTTTTATAATGTTTAGAAATATTTTTGTTCTATAAACGTAGTTGTAACATAATTATCATATCTATAACATGACATAAACAAAGTATTTGTGATGTACATAATTGAGGTTATCTTGTTTAAAGATTCGCACGATTATAGACTTAACAACGTATAGAATAGATGCAGTTTGCATCGACCGTCGATAGGAGCATATACAAGCTATCTTTCACGAGGACAGAACAGTGAGACAGATCAGTATGCAATACCGTTTGAATAGGCTCTTATTTTTAAAACTTCTGCTCTGTCTCAGCGTATGCTTTAAACAATAGCAGTACTGCATTATCTACTCTGACAACTGTTCAGCCCTCGTGTGAAAAATACATTAGTGTGCGTCTCGCCCAGGGCGCCAACGATTACTTCCAAGAGATTAGAATAAACATCGTACGCAAGATAATAACTCGGTTGTACTCGCTTATTACGCACAACTTTGCATGCGCTAATTAAAACGTTTTATTTCTTGTATAATATTATGATATCGAATAAACTTTGTGAAACGGAAGGCTAAGGGAATAAACGCAAATAATGACAGATACTAAGTGTTTACTTAGGATTGTTAAGATTACCAATGCTTTGATTTGCTCTTTGATACTTATTTTAATGCAAATATTTTTAAATGGTTTTACTTTACTAGTTAGTTACATAGGTTCTATTGACCGCAAATCCACTGGGAGCGCGTATTTCTAAGCTATTTTGAACATTTATTTAGGGAAACGTTTCAATTTTATACGCGTAATAGAAGAAACTTTATTTTCCTGTATACAGTTTTGCGTCACATAAGCGGTTATGTTAATAACTTTTTATAATCATTATTTTCCACCTTCATTCTTCAACGCTTTTAATATATGTAATTATATGTCAAGAACCAGAACGAGGCGACGAACCATAAACAAGTGTCCACTCTGATTTCCAAGACATTCTTTGATACAGCCACATGTCTGTCTGTACATATTTAGAGACTATAACGTTCATATCTTAGTAATTCTACAAGTTAATAAATCAATATCACATTTCTAATTACCTTGTGATAAGTTTGTTTCTTTTTAATTAAGTGATAGCGAATTGTACACAAATTACGAATATACAATCTATAAATATCATTTGTAGTAACTGATCTAAATACACACTAATACACCTAATTTAAATATTCAAGATTTAAAAAAATATCATCATATTAAGTTTGAATTTAATATGCGACCATTTAGTTCCTATACACCGTATTAAGTACTGATCCTTTGTTATAGAGCACTCACTGCGTTGAAACACTAAATGACGATTGGTGTCCAAACCAAAAAGAGGAACTGCTGGTGGTCAGAGAGCGCACGGAGCCTGGGGGCACGGATAAGCCCACATACAGGGAGAGGACCGTCAGAGTTGGAGTCTCTAACGTCATCAACTATAAACAAATTAAACCAGAGGTAAATAACACTTCAAAAATAGAATCAATAATAATTATTTAAAAATAAATACTTGTTAAACATAAGACTGATCTATACTAGTATAATGTTATAAAGAGCAAAGATTGGTATTTTTGTTTGTATTGAAATAACTCAAGAACTACTAAACCGACTACAAAAATTCTTGTGACGTTAAAAAGCCATGTATTACTGAGTAACATAGGCTATATTTTTACTACTTTTTTATTTTCATGCGGACGAAGTCGCGAGTAAAAGCTAGTATAAAGTAATATAAAAAAAAACAATCTGCATTTCGTTAGACCAGTTTTGTAACTGTAATTGGATTTAAAAACATGATCATTGCATGATGCATTATTAAGTTTGACCACAGAATAGAATAGTGTTACTTAATGATAATTACATTATCAGACACAATACTGTCCAAATAATTATATTCACAACAAACAATACTCGATTAAAACAATGTACCGCTTGACGTGACATAATTTTAATGACTTGTTATTCCACAGGCGAAACTCGTGAACACAACACAGAATGAAAACTTCTTCCTCACAACGAAAGAGTACGACGGTAAGAATAGAAACTGGTATATTGAAGCTTCGCCTGGAGACCAATTCTGTTCAGCGAAGAGTAAAACATTGGAAGAAGTCTTCATTGAGATTAATGTCGGTGCTGATAAGGAAGTTGTACAATATCACGTACCCTGTGCCTGTCCGTGTACTGAACGCGCTGAGGTATTCTCAAGGAAATGCAGCAACAGAGGCACTTATGCATGTGGCGTCTGCTCTTGTCCAAGTGGATGGTATGTTCTAGTTTAATTCTATTAATACAATACCTTTCATGTCCCTATTTCAAGAACCGTTTTCTGATTATCCGCGATGCTTTTAATCCAAAAAGCATTGAAACAGTAGTTGAAAATTAATAACTACCTTTTGCCCGTGAATCCGTACATGTAGAATTTAAGAAAAAGTGAGTAGGCTATGTGTTCTTCCAGACTATCCTCTACATCCATGTCAAATTTCATCTAAATCCTTTTAGTCGTTTAAACTACAAACTTTAACAAAGATTCATCCATCTATCCATCTACATTTTCGTATTTATAAAAGATGTAAGGTTCTAACTAAATACAAATTAAATTGAAATAAATCACGTGAACCTCGTCCTGAGTAAGTGCAACGTATAAGGGCTTAAATAAATCCCAGGCGGCAAACTACACACAACTCAATTACACTCATCGACAAAACGGGCTTTGTTCGACTCATCTCTGCCATGGTAATTATGGAGTTTGAGTCCTACTTTCATGCTAATGGTCGGCTCAATGAAATACTGCTCATTATGCGCGACACAATGATTAAAACCGCCGTTAATGTAACACAGACATCTTTGAATTTAATTTGCATACGTCACTTTGACCTCATTTTTTTACTTAATTGATTTCAAAACTCAAGAATTTGACATGTTTTTTCAGACAACTTAAGAGACGAGAGACAAACATTTGTGCGATCAAGATTACTTAATGTACTTATGCTAGGTTGCCGAAGTTGCATTTTTATAATTTCCTAGTGACGCACTTAAAACGCTTAAAACGCACGTAAAACTCAAGTTACGTACTCGTAGTTCGGAAACGTATTTAATAAAATTATCAAATTAGAATAGTTAAAAGTAGCTGGGAAACCGGCCATTAGACCTCATAAATAGATTTAGTAATAACTTCAAATTGTATTTCATAATTTAACTTTCAACTGAGATGCAAATATTAAAACATTGCAGGCAACAGGATTTACTATATACGTAGTAACAAACATTCGTCTCATGCTAATATGACCATTAATATTCTTGACATTGATTAAAAACAACACCATGTATACTATGCAAATAATCCGACTTGCACAGGTTATAGCAATTAGTTTTATATCACTATAGTCGTGAACATTTCAGTACGCAGACCGCTTATCCACGCTATTCATTTGTAAAACTCTTTTTACACATTCTATAATCTATACTTCTATACTAGTATAATAAAGCGTAAACACACACTTCTTTGTTACCTAAGATGTCAGCAATTACAGCATATTTTTGAATAATTTTTAATCAAAAGCCCTACACTTACGTCACGCTTTAGCCTATATATTTTCACGCCATTAAACTTGGGGGGCAAATCTTTTGGATAAAAAGAGACCATAAGTTGCAGTCAAAATCAAGGAAGCATGGTGACCATGCTTTGTCATCATGTCATGTCGTTTTGACATTTGCAATTGACAATTTGACACATGTAAACAATAAAATAATTTTATGCTGATGAAATGGCACGGGAACAGCTAGTAATATAATAACGAAGACGGAACGATACTATGTTTTCTACGGAACCCTTAATTTCTGCAGTTCCTGCATAAGGAGTCGAAGCCTTAACTCTATTAGCAATGACGAAAGAAGGCCCGTTACAATTAACAGTACTAATCGCAAACGTTATAAAGATGACATAAATAGATTAAAAGCAATTGACATACGTCTGAATGTTACATCGAAATAATCGATGTGTGTAATAATTATCATGATGAGAATATTTAAAACATTTAAACATGTACAATGAACGTTTATTTCTTTAAAATGGAACCTTTTTAATGTTTTTACTACAGGTCCGGCAAATTCTGTGAAAAGAAAGAATGTCAAGGTATTCGCGGCGACCTCCAGTGCACAAATCCTGTTAAAAACGATGTATGTGGTATTCTGTTACTTTTTATTTATTACCATAAAAGACAATTTTATAAATAATATTAGGCTTTTAAAATTTGCTTAGGTATTATCTTTCGTTTGATTTAAATAATTATATATCTCAATGAAACAACATAACTCAAGAATATAAAATTGCTTCCGTAATTTAATGTCTTTATGTAATTAAATGTTTTTTCTTGATTATAAATTGGTCCAGTATGTATAACAAGTATTATTTCAACTGACCAAAACTTAATCCTATATATATTCACGTTTTTCTCGTAGGCATTAAAGTAATTAAATAATGTAATATCTATTTATCTTAAGAATCATTACATTTATTAAGAGTCGCTCTAATGTTGAACACTTTAAAAAAGTACCTATGTACCCAAGTCCTAAAATACTCCAATTACTAACTGGTTGATTGTGTTTAATAACATCAACTAACTACGTCAGATGAAGAACAATTGTAAAGTAAAATATACTAGAAACAAAAAACACTTACTTTTGACGCTTCATTAAGAAACAAATATTTCTTAATCTTTCGATACTTATCTTCATAATTTATTCGCAGGTGGAATGCTCAGGGAACGGTGTCTGTGGTCCTTGTGACGTTTGTCAATGTTACACCGACCGTCCGGGCTCCAAGTACTTTGACAAAGAAAACTACTGCGCCGACATCTGCATGACCACAAACGACTGCGACGAATGCCTCAGCAATCCAGGGAACGGAAAATGCCCAGACTGTCACTTCCCTCTCACCAAGATGAGGTACAATGAGACACTGCTGAGGGAAAAGGACAGCCAGAACAGGAACATCTGGATTAATTGCAACGGAACAGTCGACAACTGCCCCATAGAATATGTCGCCAAGAAAGATGATAATGGCGACGTGTTTGTTATGGTCATCAAGTTGTGCGATGTTACCAACGAAGCGTCAGTTGCGGGTGGCACCAATGGTAAGCATTTGAGACAAATTTTCTCTAAACTTTAACCGATATTAGCTGTTCCCGTGCGGCTTCATCCGCATGAAATTAAATAAATTTTATTTTATTGTTTACTTTTGTGAAATGTCAATATATAAATGCATAAATGACAACTTTGCTTCCTTGATGTTGGCAGCTTGTAGTTTATGGTCCTTTTCTCACGCGAAGTTTTTTTCCGATTTATTTGCCACTTATGTTTAATGGCGTGAAAATATATAGCCTAAAGCGTGTCGTAAGTGTAGGGCTTTTTATTAAAGAAAAACTTATTCTCAAATATGCTGTGATTGCTGTCATCGTACGCCACAAAGTAGTGTGTGTTTACGCTTTATTATATTAGTATAGATATGTGGCTCGTTTTAAATGTTCTTCGTTCACCAAACATTTACATATTCAAATTTAAACAGGTGCAACTTATAAGATCGCTGTTGACGCATTCTGTAAATACAGACGACAGATGGATACTGTCACATTGCTTATTCCTTATCGACCCTAAAGGAATACTGCATATCTATGTGCATTCGTGTCCTGATATTTTAATTATCTTGTTTGTTGTTCGACATAACAAGTTTGTTAATATTTCGTGTCAGTTTCCGAGTTCGTGAGTAACAATATATCATTATCCTCGGTGGACGCGCGGCCGCTCCGGACGGATACTTCGCCTTAGATAAGTCGTATTGTCCCACGTAATATGGTCGTATGCATTCAACCACTTTGTTTGAAAGCGAGAGTATCTATTGTATTTATTGGATAAATGTATTGTTACACACAACTAGTTGTTTATTCCAATATACCTGATGAAATGTGTATAAATAGTCAACTTTATTATGTTTCATCCATAATAAGCATTCTTAGTTCTCTAACATTTAGTAAAGCGTCTATTAGCGTGATTTTAATATACTCTTCATTTTTTATAAATCAACTAGTTTTTCCCCTGACTTTGTCTACGTGAAATTTCACTCAGCGATAAAGTAACACAGTAGTTTTTGAGATTCCAATACGAAAATACAATTCTTTCCCTATTATAATCTTAGCCTATGCTAAGATTATAATAGGGACATATCTATATATGACATCATCATTAGATAGATAATCATAGTTACACCGAACACAACCTAATAAAGAGCTGTTCAATAGGAGATGAAGATTAGATTACCTATAACATTAGAGTGTAACCGATGTTGTATCAACAGTGACGATCCCCGTGGTGCTGACGGTGCTGCTGCTGGCGGCGGCTGCGGCGGCCACCGCCGGCTACCTGGTGTGGAGGAACCGGCCGCCCGCGCTGCCGCTCGCCGACACACAGTACCAGAACATCGGCGCCGAAGACTGCGTCGGCTCCAACCCGCTCTACATACCGCCCACCTCTTATTATAATAATCCTACGTACGGAAAAAACTAGTCAGGTAAATGGTTTCTATTTTATCATAACTTAGAGATCCATTAGTGTTAGGTTCCAAGTTTCAACGGAGTAAAACTCAAGTTACGTAGTTCAGAAATGTATGTGAAGAATTTTGCCAACCAAAATACTAACGAATGGTTAAACGTTTCTGGGGAACTGGACATTACAAAATTAGATTAAAATTCAGTTGTGCTCAAAGACATTTAAGAAACATACAGACTAGACTTAGGGAACAACATTTTTCGGTAACTTCTTTGTACGATAACATCTCAATGTGTTGTTAGTGTTTGAATTATAACTACTGGACTCCAGTGGCGCTAGTGAAATTATGTGAAAAATGTTTTCTTCCACTGTATATTTTTGGTTCTACTAATTCAATGTCTTAACTGATTCCGACGAGAGATGTCCGATTCATATGCAATTATGGAACAATGTTGAGGTAAAATTCAATTAAATTGTTTTTACTAGTTATATCAGAAAAATGTTACTGATTTTTATATCGTCAATGTTGAAAGTGGAGATATAGATGTTTTTTAATACACATTTGCAAATGACGAAACGACATAAATTGATGAATTGATAGAATATTTGTTATTGCGTATCTGCGGAGAGATTTACCAACATCGTAAATAGCTCAAAAACTGGTTTGATAGTAAAACCGTAATAAATGGTAGCAATTTACTAGAGCGCCGTAAGTAAACAGGTGAGAGGTGCATTTACATTCACGTTGACTGCAAAATATCAGTTTCTGATAATTCCAACAAGAAACAATATAATTCCCAACTATCTATGAAAACAAACGTTGAGGACTTGTAGTTGATTGTATCTTCTTAAAACCGCGTGAAATTAAAAAAATAACAGGCTGTGTTACTCGCAGATAAATTACCTTTCTAACGGTGAAAGAATTTTTAAAATCGGCTCAGTAGTTTATGAGTTACAGTCAATACATATAAAAATAGAGAAACAAATTTCTCCTCTCTATAACATTAGTATCGATTAATAATTTATAATAACTAGTAGTACATAATTAACAATAGTAACAGCTTTATATGTCATAAAAATATTGTCCTATATTCGCATAAAAAAAATGATATTTAAACCGTCCAAAGTGCATTCATCGAGATAAAAAGCGAAGGCAAGGACGGAACAGTCGCGTTATTGCGGTCGATTTGTAACGAAACCGCGGCACCGTTCACTGTCCACTGCGAGCAGGACTACGTGACTTGCATCACAGGCAACACGCGATGGCACCTAGCAGCATATTTAAATTTTAGTAAAGCCATTATAATTAGGGTGTGTAATTTAAAAGTATGTTTATTTAAACATGAAAAACAAGTTACTTTAAGCGTTGCACCTGTTCTAAGTAAAATTTTGTACAGGTATAAGTAACTACTTAATTTTTATTTTGTATACCCACATGATCCTATGTCACTGACATTGTTTACTTTTTTGGCTTTTCAATAATCTTTTTTATAAATTTTTCTCTATATTTATTTGCAGTCAGATATTAAACGAACGTAGTTCACAATATATCGGTGACATGACCAGTCTTTTATTTGACACGATGTTTTGGCTATTCGGACATTGTGATAACATTGGGCCCCTGATGTCACACGCACCGTATATGTCCGGTTATGAAACTATAACACAATCGTACGTGACTATTGTTTTGGAAAATTAACAACAGACTACGCAGTTACACTGAACTCAAGTGTTTTACACGATTCCTCAAATGCCTATATAATTTTATTAATAAAACTTTAAAGGAAAACTCGATGTGTTAAAGAGTTTTGTATCTTCTTCTAACCATAAATAGTTTATAGTTTCTTTAACTCTTAATACATAAACACATTCATTAATTATAAAGTCAATAAGGTATCTCACACCAGTAAACATTCAATATGAAATAGTATGTGTCCGGGAAAATAATTGCAGTGACTCATCTTCACACTTAGAACTTGCTTGACAAACAATATTCCTTCAAATTGTGCTTTGAAACTATTATAGTAAAGAAAGAATAGTCAATACATCAAAACAATCAAACAACCTACAATATTAATTACGAAAATATGCTTCATATAACTGTGTTATGAGGGATTATGATGTGAATCTCGTCTCTATTATTTTCGTTTAATTTTGAATATTGAAAATTAAATCGTCTCTTTAGAAATCTTACGCATAGTGATTTAACTATAATTTTAACATTCAATACAATAGTCTCGTAATATATTGTTCAAACTTGTAACTGAATTTAAATTCACCAACATTAATTATAAAATCAAACGAACGAATAAATCTTATTGAAAGCGACGCCCACGTCGCGTCTCCGTGATATATCCTCGATACTACGTACTATGCAAATTACTCGTGTACTATTCAAATTAATACTTTCTATAGAAAGTAAACTATTGGCTAATACTAACATTCATCAAGGTTTATTCATTACGAGGTAGACAGTCCAAAATATTTTAAAATAAACTAAGTACAAGGTTTGTAAAATTAAACAAGATAACGGTTCATTAATAAATGGAACATACATTTTATTTGGCTTATCTATAAATTAATATTGTTTATATTGTAGAACTAGAGTAAGTAGAAAGGGTTTTCTTTAAATTTAGATTATAAAGTGCTGAAGGAATGGCCTCTGGACAATATTAATATAATGTGCTTTTGAGTTAGAATTCATCATTTTAATGTTTAACAGTTAAAGTTGTAACTTAAATACTAAGAATAGTTTATTGGAAGCTAAGTTATTTCGCATTACGACAGCCAGAGCTTATCAGAGAGTGACGTTGCCGCACTCATTGCGAACTTAATTGATTTATAATGTGCGATAAATTACACTTATTATTCATTTTAATACCTCCCTATTGTTAGCGTATTTAAATAACAAGTTAGAACTATAAATCTGACCAGATTTAGAAGTACAATTCCAAAAAGAGACTAATAAAGGATATGTTTTCAAAATAAAGAACAAAATAACAGCTGTGTCTTCTATACAATATAAACCAACAACTTCGTTAGTATTCAGTAGAGAAATGGACCACAAGGTCGGATTATTTGTACAGATCCGGACTAAATAAAACAACAGTTGTTTGGCGGAGCGAACGTCAGCTTGAAAGTACTCGAATGCGTCCTGTAGAGGTCGTTGCTCGCCGACGAATACTTGACCTTATCTTCTTAGTGAGTGGTTTTTTTTGTACACAATAATGTATGGATTAACGGCCATCGATCATTATCCGTTATACATATGCGATTGGACGATATGACTACTCTAGAACTTCCAACATTAATGTAATATCCTACGCTCTTTAGTATCATATTTTGGTATTCAAAAATTGTCATTTTTTAGGTTCCTATTAGCGTTGCAAAACATAACCTCTGATTTCATCTTCTATTTCTATCTTAGAGATATAGATTGACCTCTTATAAGAGAGATATATTTCTGGACCTGTCATTCATCTCAATAGTCCATATTTAGAGTTGTACAAATCAGGAAGCGTGATATAATACGATGCTAGTACACGTTTATTTAAAAATTCTACCTATTTATCAATACATAACGCATAAACCGACTCAATTTTCATGGTAAACTGTGTGTTTATTTTATTGCTATCTCTGATTAACCTTTAAATACGAATAAACATTTTCAACGAATTAAATTGATATACTACTTCTATATGACTTCATCCGGAGGGGAAGAGATATCGTCTAGTATAATTTGTTATTGTGTCTTAACCAATGTTTAGGGAACGTAACGGGAAGTAATTTAAACGTCACTAGTCTCAGAAATAATTTACGCAAGGATAAACGAACAGAATTTCCTTAGCAACAAGGGTTAATCACGCTGAGGGATTTCTTTCAATAGACCAAGATATTGATAGCGTCGCTCTGTCGCCGAAAGAAATGAAATCCATTATTACCTTTAGGCCCCATTCGTACGAACGTAATTATAACGCGCTTTAATCTTGTACTAATGACGAAATTGAAACCTCCCGTCACTTGATGCATATCTGATGATCTCTTTTTATTGTGGTGTCACCAAATAGTTAGAACTGGTAGATCGAATATTCACCATTCTAATCTAAGAAGCTGCCCTAACTAAGCTTCTACATCGCTGAGTCACATCGTCACTATACCTGACGTAGAGTCCTTCATAACGCGATTTAATTATTTAAATTTTATCGGATATTTCCTTATTTATAACATTAATAGTCAACTTTGTATTCAATTTGTCAAACAAAGAGCTTTAGATGAAGTCCAGTTTAACTGAACTGTAATAACATTGACGTAGACAATGACGTTTATTATTGACAGCGGACGATAATGGTGGAGTTCACACAATTGTATGAGTGACGCGTTTCATCAATTTACCAAACAAAGGCAACAAAGTTAACGGTCTTCCTAAATACGCAATTATGCGATTAAACAAAACACAGCTGTATGCACATTTACATAACAAATGATTAGAGTGGTCCATTGGAGATGGATTCAAAAAGTTTTAATTTAATTAACAATGTCCCCCTAAACTTGGCGACTTAAGCTTCGTAATTGGCAACATTAATAAATTGTCAAGACAACTTGCTATCAATTAGAAATCCCTTTCTACTAACATTTAAATACTTGTATCTTGTTAACGATCTTCATTAACTGTAATGTCGTGTTACCAGTATGCACTTTCTTTATCTTGTACGGTTTTTATACTCAAGTAACAAGCATATTGCACATTTGATAGTTATGTGGTACTACGCAGTAAGATGGAGTGCCTCATATATTAACTGTATTGCAAATCAGTTTCAGAAATGAGATTATTGACCACACATGTAGAGTAATAAAATTTTAATAGAAACATTTTAATTCGAGCTGGATGATGGACATCCATAGTCATATATAAGATCTATATCTATACTAATTTGTATTATTGTACGTATTGAAATAACTCAAAAAGTACTGGGCAGATTTTTAAAATTCTCTCACCATTAGATAGGTAATTTATTTGTGTGTAATATAAGCCATATTATTTTCACGCGGATGAAGTCGCAGGCAACAGCTAGTTTTTTATAATTGCCTAAAATTTAATTTGAATGAAATGCAGAAAATTATGGAATAACAGTGTCATTTGTTTCAAAACAGAGTGCCTAAAAATATAAAAGATAAACTCTTCAAATTACACGTTTGACATTTCTCTTGTTTAAAAACTGGCATGTGAATAAAAGTGACATTGGTTAATCAACTGTAAACATTATTATTGCCAATTGAACAGAAACGGTGAATTTTATTTGATGTTGGTGCTTAATGAAATGTCAAGGCTGGAATTATCTATGCGTCGGTCTGTAGGACTGTACTATACTGGGAACGATGGCTTCCTAAATTAACCAATGTCATGCGAAGGTACCTTAGTTTATATTAACTCATTCAATTACTACGTCCGTGTGAAATTTTAAAAAATAAGCTTACTCACTGATTACGTAGCTTTTTAACGGTAAAAGAATTATTGAAATCGGCCCAATAGTTTTCGACTCATTTCAATACATACAAAAATCCTAAAATACAAATCTTTCTTCTTTATAACATTAGATTGTAGTTTTATAATTAAATAGATAGTTCTTGTATCCAATATTATAAAAATCTGAATCACTAAGATTCACTTTTAATTATATTCAATCCATTTGAAATTATTAACAGCCTCGTAATCTAATTGAACTGCAATCTAACATACAATAGCTATAAATTCAAAATAACGAGATCCATATTGAGATGACAGTTATCAAAGGCGGTGCCTCATAAGCCCCAACAATGCACAAGTCATTAAAATTTCTAGACGCCGACGCCTACGTGAGACATAGCTTATGTGGAGTTGTAGAATTTTCCTCTAAGTACCTTACGAAGGTAATAAATAATAGTAGATTATAAACTTTCGAATGTTATGGAATCATTTATTAATCAATATTTAGTTATTCTTAAATTTTTCGGTAATTAAGGAAGCCTTTAAATCTAGATTTTAGACTTTACGTAAATTAATTGATGTATATAACGGTAGTGAGTGTTATTTTTTGGTACTTTCAGTCGCATTACAATCCTAGAGACATAGTAAACGTGTTGTTTCAAGAAAAATTCCATTAAACTAAATAGTTTCTCCATTTCCGATAAGAATTAGTCACAAGTCGACGAACGGATGAATGTTTTATTTGTTATAGTAAAACCATGAACTCAGTGTTCTAAATTATTTTAATTCCAATAAATCATAACCACAAAGCTTAACTACTTCCACAATACATATAGTATCAAGAAAAACAGGAAAACCTGACACTATTCATAATATTAATTTGAATTTAACTGCACTCTGTCTTAACCGAAAAGAAAATCGGCGTAGTTATATTTTTTATTTTTTAATACCAAGCAATGCCGGCAGAGGTCGCTAGTGTATTTACCGCAGATGGTTCACAGATAAGGATATAAGAAATTGCCAACGTTCGTCATAAACTTGGCGAGAAATCTGAGCATTTATTCCTTTTTGAGTCATAAGTTGTCCTTGCAGATTTCCTTAATGAAAAGGCAAGTGATATAAATAAACAAAGAAGTTGATGTAAATAGTTATATTAACGAAAAGTGTATTTTAAGTACTGTTTCTATGAAGCTTTTATATTAATAGAAAATTTATATCTAGGATAATGAATGAAATTTTAAATCATTCGCCGCTTTTAGATTAAATTAAATATTTTGAAATAAATGAACTATAAAATACATAATTTGAATAAAATTATTAAAAATAAAAATAGAAGGATTTACTTCTATTACCGATATATCGTTATTTTTAAAGACATAACATTTTAATAAACAACCACATTACAAAATTCATTACTGACAATGCGGTATTTAATTATGTATGTATGTATAATATGTACGCAATTGTACAGCTCTAAGTACATATAAGGAAAAAATACGAAGTATGTAAAGGGCCATTAATAACTTAAGTATAACGAGAATACCATGTATTTAACTTAGAGCAGAATTAAATGTCATAAAGGAACTTATTATGCCAATAGATAAATGTTGCGCAGATTTTAATACATTTTTGATCAAACTTAGTTATAAATATTTAAGTAACTTAGTTCCGTAATTCATCATATTATAAAGAGAGAGTGATAAAGATTTGTATTTTTGTTGTATAGAAATAACTCAAAAACTACTGAGCTGATTTTAAACTTACTAGATTGTAAAGCTACGTAACCACTGAATAACAAAGGATACCTTTTTCTTAAATTCTACGTAGTCGAACTACGAGTAGTATTTTATATTGTAGCTATATGTAGCTATAGAGCTTGGTATATTTAAATAGTAACAAAGTTTTAGGTTATACGAAGTCGTATCAGTTACGCGAGCGCGCTGCCGCGGCCGGCAGCAAGCGATAAGAGGTCACGACTCCGCAGGATGTCTTGTCCACGCATAAAGGACTTGTTTGTCCCTCTGATGGATCGTATGCGTTACATGAACGCATAGCCAACAAAGTAATAAGGATGTCCAGTATACGTACCCTCTTATGAATATTAACACCAGATAATATTGATGACATTGCCCAGTAAATATTGGTTGTTTAATGGAACGAGTTCGTATTTTACGATAGGCGTCCTAAGAATGGATCTGTTGATTGTTGCTATCTCTAGTAAACATTGAACGGCACTAATCATAAAATGTAAGCTCTGGCTGTTCTGAATAATCTTTTACTAATTACTATTATTGCTTGTGAAGAATTTATGGACAAAGTCTCATCAGATATTAACCGCCTGACAACTTCTGCATTAATAGTTAAAGAGAGAAGTTTCTAAAGGTAATAAAAACGTGTTATGCTGGAAACATACATTTGTAATGAGAGTTTTTAAAGAAAACGATAGGTATTTCATGTGCGGGATCGATTCAATTACACTTAATTTAACTCCTTCGATATACATCCTGTTGTGATGTACGTCGAGACATCAATTAGTTTTTAATCGAATTTTAATTATCTAATTTGTACAGACTTTAGCTCATCTTTTCAAAGAAACTTAGTGTTGTTTCGTCGAATTTACTTATTAGTAAACATCTGTTTTGTATCTTATGTAGCTAATGAATTCGTCACCTCACTAAGTAGATGTACAAACGGTAAAAACTATTCGATATAAAATTTGTGACCGTGTTCGCTGACTCAGAGTCCCGCGTCACAAAAATCCACAATGACTCAGACAGCTGCTCGCTTCTCTCGCATTTAACAAGTTCTTTATTTGTTCGCAGAATGAAAATAATGGTATCGAAGATGAGAAAACGAAAAAAGACCCTTTTGATTATCGACAGTCGGAACTCCGCTGACGTATCTCATTCCAGCCGCCTGTTTAACACATGATGAAGAAATTGCGCACATCCGGTGTTCCAGTCGCAAATTGTAGACTATGTTTTACATATAATAGGCACTGCTAGGTATTAGAGTGTTTATGTAATACCTCTGTGATATTTAAGATGATTAAGTAATGTATAAGGTCGAATGATTCACGCTATGCCACTTGTTTTCTATTAGTAATCTCGATGTACACCACACACTAAGTTGTAAGTTAAATATGTATGACGCACACTTTGTATGCGCTTGAACCTAGTATCGTATATATTAGTTAGTTTGTCCAAATTCTTAATTATTAAAGAACACAATCATAATAACAGTAATTATCAGCCTGGTTTTGATATCGTTTTTTGATCTCTTTACCAATAATGGTTGAAAAAATAAGTACCCATTTAAGTGATTAGCAGCGTCGTAGAAAATAACAATCATTAAATGACCTCCAAATGTAATATTGAATACGTAAATGTAGCTTAGCTTATTGCAAAACTATAGTTATGTTCTTGATGTATTGTGTGTCTCCACTGCCGATACATGTACAAAAACATGTAATCTTTTTCTTTTTGACATAGAGATTGATATGTTTTATCAACACACGGTTATAACGCTATAATGTAACGGTTATGAAATATAACGCAAAAGCTATAACGTTATAATTTGTACGTTAGATTTTTGTCGTATTAAACATTTGTAGGAAATAGATTTAGTTAAGTATTTGATAAGTAATGCAAATGCCAGCTTTTGATATTACTTAAAGTATAAAAGATGATCGCGCGAAAGACGAATAAGAATACAAATTATGATGACTAAGTTCATAAAAGATGTTAACTAAGAAAGTAGGATGTTGCAGTGATTTATCGCCGACTGCGTGTAAATATTTTGAATGTAGGGTTGTCAACTTTCAAAAAAAACCACGATCAATTCTTTCTTGAGTTAAAAACCTGACCGTGCAAAACCAAAGAGTTGGCAGCCCTATATGTAGCGTAGGTGTTGTGGCTCCGTGTGTCAGATCAACGAAACTGACTAACGGGTTTAAAATCCCTCACAGACTCTTCAGAATTCCATATTAATAATTCGAATTCGAGGCTTACGTTAAACTTTACCATTCCATTGTTTGTTTGATAAATTGGAAATTGTTTTTTATATTTTTTTCCATCGTAACTTTCATTCTTATTGTTTGCTCAATGTTTTACAAAATTAGTTCCTACATCTTTTGTGAAATTGAACCAAAGGATTTTTGGAAAGCTTACTTACCTATACAAATTTAGAAAGTTCAAAAATATTTTAATTTTAAAGCATAATTATTGTAATTGATCACATATACAAAGGTGTAACATTGAATTTGATGAGTATAAAAGCAAATACAATTGTCTTATTTTTTGTTTTTTTTCAATGCATAGTTTGAAAAAAAAGTGGACTGAAGCGTATATGCTTTTTTACTCCCCATTTGTATCACTCATCCTATTTCAGGAAAATTATAATTAGATAAGTAGTATTTTGTATATAAATGTAAAATAAGTATTTTCTAGGCTATGATGCGTTGTACTTGATAGCCTTATGCTGTGTAAATATATTTAATGTTCATTATGTTTATTGAGTAGCATTATTTTTAATACATGGTGATAACTAAAGTTCATGGTCTAACGGACTTACTCAGAGTTGGTTAAGTTCTCCTTAATGTAGATTTTCTATGAGATACCTCGGCCATCTTTAATCTCATCTCAATTCCCCGTTAGTAGACAAAGTCCTCGATTGACTATTAAGGACTATGAGTACAGAAATACTCCTTAGGTCTTCTTCTTGTATTTATTAACATCACATTATTTATTCAATTTCTATTAACATTTGTATGTATTCAAGAGTAACATTCTAATTCAAATCTAACAATGAATTCCTAATCATTTTTTACGTAAACAGTTTTTATATATTTTGTAAATTTGTAATAAAATGTGTAATTATAACCTAGTCAATAAAATGAAAAACGTTAAAAAAACTGTTTTATTTTACATACCTTATGCCTATGCGTTCTTTTAGGCTATGCTCTACACCTATACCAAATTTCATCGAGTTCGTTCAGCAATTTTGGCTACAAACTATCCATCCTTATAAACTTACGCATTTATAATAAGATTTAATTAATACCGGGCATAGACAGACTTATTCTGACTGAAAATTCTGTAGAAGTGAATTTTTAAAATCGTTATCCTAATTATGTGGCAAAAGTTTAAAATTAGTGGTACAAATTGCCGTTTATCCTTTATTCGATAGTGTCTGAATTTTGAAAAATCGGCTGTACTTGTTTAGATAAAAATACGTAAGATTTTGATTTGCGTGTTGGCAACATTGATTTTTTTTTAAGAAGATTAGGCATAAAATATACTTACTGTTTAACTCTAACATCTTCAACAGTAATACTTGTTTGGTTTAAATAAAACAAATAAGTCCAAAATTAAATAACTTCTTTTATTTCAGAGTCAAATTTGTTTACTACATAAACGTGTTAGAATGACGGACGCCGTAGCATTAATTGACCATCGCACTAATGGTGCACGTCGCCGGTTACTTAGGGTAGTTTAACTGTTACTCGGACGTAATTACTTAAGCAGTCCTTTAGTGTTTTTAATACTCTACACTAAGGGACTCCTCGAGTACTTAACTCATGAGTGTAAGTTATTCACGGACAATACTTCGTTTTAAAATAATTGCGTTACTACAAAGTGTACGTGATTTTGCAGAGGAGTGCACGTATCGCTTGCGTCAGATAGCGGTAAGCATTCTAGGAATTAAATTTCAACAGATGGTCGCCAATTCATTTCACACTGTCAGAATAAACTATAAACTCTTGTCTAAAGACTTTAAAATAGAAGCCTTAATTAGTTTAACTATCTAAAAAAGGTTTGAATTACTTACAGTTATATAATTTCATGGGACAAACATAAAGACTGAATTATTCTCTTCTATTTCTTGTTTATGGCTCTCCCTCGCCGAAATGGGCCAGTGTCAAGTGTTTCACTGAATTATATGAAAATGAATTTAAACTTCATGTAATAATTTTTATTTTAAATACAACTTTGAGCTCACTAATTGTGAAGAAGTGTCTGTTATTTGCTGTTTGGACAGAAATATCTAAAAAACTGCGAGCTCTGTAATAAATTTGGCGATTCCGTAATGCCACCGCTATCCGGCGCCGTCTGTTGGCGACATATGGCTCGCTGCTTGCTCCTTTTGCACGCGATTTATTTATATCTGTGCAATGGTTCGCAAAGTCTGTTGTAACTTGGTTATAAATATTACAATATAACGTACATAGTCGTTAAGGTTCTACCACAATGTTTGTCAAAATAAGGAACTTTTCAGGAGAGAGAAAAAATTGCATAATTTATTAAGACACTATTAGTAAAAATACTGTGTTACATTTAATCTAGAATACGTCTTCCGATTCTTTAACGAATGGCATTAAAACGTCAAAATAGCCGAAAATTGACTTACGTGGTGTTAGAACTCCGAAGAAATATGACGAATAAGTACCGACGACGTTCCCGAACATTCCGCAAATTCGAAGGTAACAACTAGTTTCCGTGTCTCCGCTACGTACCAATGCCACAAACATCTAATTTAATCAATAATCAACAATTATCGCCACCTCTAACACTACACGCTCTTACCATAATATAATACCCATCAAGTGGAAAAATATTTTTTTGATTTTCCATCGAAATCAACGAACTAAACGATTACAAGGCAAACGCGACGCAAACCGGGAGCGGAACCCATAGCGAGACAGCGCTCGGAGTCAGGGCGGGGGAAATCTTTTTTTTTTAAATCATTTAACCCTTAAATGCGTATTTTCCAAATCTTTCGAAAAAAATATGTAATTCAAGATCGACTAATGAAAAAATAATAAAAAAAATCTAGCATTTAAGAGTTAAAATCCCCCGCCCCGGCTTCGATCGCAATCTCTACTTACAAACTATGCATCAAAGGCATTTAGTGAACTTGCCTACCTTAGGATTAGAATAGAAATTCTGAGAACTACAAACTAGGTTATGAACAAAATGGGCTCCGCGGCCGGAGCGCGGCGCACGCCGACACACCAGACTGCTGGAAACTAGACAAATAACATCTTCTAAGACTGTTTAAATAAGAAATAATCTTAAAACATACAATAAAATTTAAAAAAAAAGAGAAAAAAAGTAGATATAGTGATTTTTTTAGCAAAATTTAATTAATTTATGACATCTAGTTTTTGTATTTCAAAAATCGTTATTGCTTTTCGGTGTATTTAAGATAAATTCAATTTAAGTAAAAAAAAAATGTTTCTATGTCAGTTTCCACGCAGCGTGGTGTCGCCGACGTACGTAAGAACACTTTAAACAGCTTCCTTTATACTACACAATTTACATTTATATACGTTTACATTTTTACACAGCAATAATAATTGTTTTGTAGTCTTTATAAATACTCTATATATACCAAATTGCTAAATATTGTCGCATATTAAGCATTTTTTATTTATATGGACATAACATTCGCCCGCCAACCTTTCAACTCACGGGTTCATACCGAAATACACTAAAAAAAACTTTCAAAACTAAACTATGAAAAAAAAATTTATAACAACTCTGATGATCCACAGTAATGTATCGAAACATGTTATTTCAAATTCAACAAAACAAATATTCTATAAATGCCGACAATATTGTCTTTTCCGTGGAATGACACTAAAGAAACTCTACGATGTTTCATACATTTCTAATAAAAATTACAATTTTGGTATAATCTAACCGAGAATACAAAAAAGGCTTCAATTGCTTATTAAATCAATTTAATATGTGTAAAGAAATACCAAATTTTTACGCAATTACAGTTTTGTTATATTTCTGGTCAGATTTTTGATGAAAAACAGTTTAGTGAAATACAACAATAAGAAAAAACACTCAACGAACAAAAACTTTAAGATAAACAATCTTGTTTGATGAAATGTTGATTGAAAAAACATTATTTCCAACCGTTATTGGTTAATGTAAAAATCTATTGTGACATTTAAAGACAATTTTAGATAATTATGGCAAAATATTCACAAATATGTAAATAACAAAATAGATCAAACACCTTTACAAAATTGACAATTCGATGGCTCCTACGTAGACTATCATAAGTCACAATTTTGAGATTTACAACTTTGTTTTTTTTTAAATTAACTTGATTGGCACTATTTTTGCGTCAAGTTCAAAGTAATTTTAGGAAGAAAAACAGTAGATTTTGGTTATTGACAAGATAATTGATCACTATTAATTGTACAAATGTTTCAAAGTTTTGTTTTGCAAATTTCAAACTTATGATAATTCACGTAGGAGTCATCGGAAAACAGCCAATGACTGTCTTTCCAAGGAGTGAAAGAGACGACACTATTTATACGTGTTAAAGTAGTAACGGTGAGAACTAAAAACAGAGGGTCTATCACGAAAACAGTTGCGAGAACATATTCGTAACGTCATCGACAAAATTTAATACAAATATCGTTAACGTTACGAAATTGTTCACACAAATATTCGGAATACGTCCTTAAACTCGCAATAAAACTAAAGAAGACAAATTACGTTAGAAGTGACGCAGAGACTAAGTCTATGGTCAGGGTTTATTATATTGGTTCATGTATTATTCAATTATATTCATTATTATTTTAATTTATTAACGTTAAAACAACCTAAACCTTATTACTGTATATATTTTCTAACATAACGTATTACAAGTGCATTAATGACAGGTGTAAACGCGATGACGTCATACTACACAAGTGTCATGTTATCGTGCACGTGTAGTAGAAAATTCGGTAAATATTATTGAATAATACATGTACCAATTGTCGACATTTCAATACACAAAAAAAATTGATATTTACATAAATAATGCACAAAATATAAAATATTAAAAGACATAACCATCTTAAGTATTGTTACATTACACTATGGCATTGCAGGAGACTCGGCCGCGCCCTCGCGTGAGTTCACACTGTTCTTACACATGTACAGAAACATATCTCACAACAAAGAGAAAGAGATAGCAATGTTTTTGTCCACGTCCAGTTAAGTCACGGTAACATCACTGACACATTTATAAAAATATAGCATTTAGTCAATTTTAAACGAACGCAAAGAGAGTTACATTTCCACTGCACAACACTTCAAATATTGCTATCTCTTTTTTTCATAGAAAACTAAAAGGACGGCAATATTACGCGGAAACGTTTTAGCAGTGGAAACTGACAAGATAAGAAAAAATGTTTTATAAGTATTTGATTTTATAAAAAAGTGGTCAAACATTGGACAGTGCAAGAATTTATTTGTAATTTTCGATAAAAATACATAGAGATGTTATAAAATGTTGGTGTGTCGTAAGGTTTAGTTAACAGTTGTTATAACCACACTCGATGTTAACGAAACATCAGATCGGGCGTTCGTTTATATCTAATTTAAAGCCATGTAAGATATTATATATAGTTGGTGTTGCTATGCTAAGGTTTCCTCTAAGCCTAGTTTGTAGTATTAGTATGTCAGTCCGAGCGGGGCGGGGGCAGGGGCCGGGGCCGGAGCCGGGGCAGGAGCCGGGGCCGGGGGGCGGCTACAAGTTGCTGCCGGATATTATGTGTCCCTGGAAGAAATTTCGACTTATAGAACTCTTTTTAAAGAAATACTCAAAGACTACTGGATAGTTCTTAATTATTATAAAAGTAAGACCATATGGCAGCTATTTTACACCAAACAATGCGTAATCGGTAAATATACACAAAAAAAATATCAATCGAATTGAGAACCTCCTCCTATTTGAAGTCGGTTAGAACAAATTTTAATATTTGTATACGTAAAAATTCTATACTTTAATGCCCTGAAAGCCATTAGAGTGTGGTAGAAGTGGTAGCAGCAGCCTACCTACGTCATCCAGTGCTGCGAAGTGTTGTGTGTGGGCGTGGCGGGCTGGTGCGACTGCGTCGCCACCCGCTGCACCACCTGCACAACAAAACAAACATCAGTATAATAAAATAAAACAATAATTTATTGCTCCTCCTTATAAGATGTTCAAGCTTTTATACGCAATATCGTTTTTGAAATTCCATGCGGGAATGGAACAAAACTTCCAGCCAATAGCAGCGAAGTTCCAAGATTGCCATTGTAAGGGTAATTGTTTGCCAATAAAAAGACATTTGCATCATTTATGTATATGAATTTTGACATTGGATTAAATAAAAAATAATAAATTTACACTTAGGAACAAACTGAGTATAAGTATTAATATTAGTACAAATATTACTTATACTCAGTTTATTCTTAAATTTAACTTTATACCGCGTTTATTTAAAAGGCTGTAAAATTTTTATATCCTGCGGATGCAGCCGCAGAGAGACAGCTAATTTGAAATACATAATTCTTTCAAATTATACTCTGCACCTTTACCAAATTTCATTGAAATCCGTTCAGTTTAGGCAACAAATTCTAAGAAACATCCATCTAAACTTTCGCATTTATAATATTAGTAATATTAGTAAGATAGTATAGTATACCTGTTGCACGAAAGCGCGCGTGAGGTGCGGCGCGCTGCGCTCCGCCAGCTCGAAGGCGCGCCGCACCTCCTCCACCGCGCCCGCGCTGCCCGCGCCGTGCTTGCGGCTCAGCTGCGACACACCACCGCCACCACCATCATCATCATCATCATCATCACCATCATCATCATCATCATCGTCATCATCATCATCATCATCATCATCATCATCATCATCATCATCATCATCATTATCACCATCACATCACACACTCAACACGTCTCAGTATAACTTACATATTGGAAATTTGTAAATTTAAAAACCAAGGACAAGGAGACGCCCATTAAAATATTTTGGTAGTTGCAAATTGTTGGTAACATATAATTTAAATACAATAAAACAACTTTTACATTTACACCAAGGTCTGGGTTTTATCGCCAAAGATTAAAAAAAGAGTAGATATCTCGAGTAGAGAATGGTTGTATATTAAATATATACAACCATTCTCTACTATATATCTATAGAAGCATAAAATGACTACTTTCAAAGATTATTGTAGACTTTATTCAGTGCTATCAACTTAATATTATGTAATATTAAACTGAACAGTAAGTACCTCGTTAAGCAGCGGGTATATAAGCTGCTGCAGGTAGGCGTGTCGCCGCACCTTGCTCTCCTCGCTGCTCACCCCTCTGTGGTCGAGAGGGGATGCCTGAAGATACACAAGAGTATATCATAAACACATCTAAAATAGTTTTGTCATCGATTAAAAAAAACTATAAAAAATCCATAGACAATAAAACAACGTTAATCAAAAAACGCGACACATTTTTATATAACAAACATTGACTGAATTCTTAAATAACTTAAAGCCGAATACTGAAACGATATTAAAATATGGCCATGCTTCAACTCCAAATTCCGTTATAATATTTTGAAATTAAGTAATTATGATTCGTTTCAGTATTCAGCCATTAATAAGTGTTGTGATTACATTTAAATTGTATTATAGTTCTAATCATTTTGTCTTCGTTTTGATTACTTACGGCCTTGTTATTAACTATTCCATCGCGATTGGACGTCGTGTGTTCTTGCCTCTCTTTCCTGTCTTCTCTATCTCCCCTGTCTCTTTCTCTATCTTTTGTATTTCTTTGTTCTATGGACGTCTGCACTATCGGTGATTGTCGGCTCTGAAACGTATTAAAAAATAATTAATTAGATAAATTAAAAAAACAATTTAAGTTTTCAAACTTATGTAGCATGTTATATCATAACTTATGCAAGTTAAAAGAAATTATCATAAGAGAGTTTATTAACTATGTTCTTGATATGATACGATGATATAAGTGTGGACATTTATATTACCGGTAAAGGGAATCTAGAAAGAGATGGATGTATACATGAAAGTGAGTGGGACAAGGATAGATAGATATGTGAATACTCTTTGTAAAATAAGTGTATAATTACCGTATTATTGTCAGGGGTATTATTATTGAGTGTAGTGTGGTGCGCGAGGTCTGCCGGCGTCGCGTCCTCCCGTTCCCTCTCGCGTGCACTCAGAGAACCATTCTGCTTCACTGAAGGCGACGTAGGCGACGGCAGAACTGTAATACCTACTACAAATTAAAACTTGCTTAAATCCCTTAAAGAATATTAAAACCTGTTAGAATAATTTTATGGATCACTAAAAACATACACAAGCTTACATACTAAAAATGAAAAACAAAGTAATCTCCCAGCAACTTTGGATAGATCTTTTGTAATCAGATCTGTCCGTCGACGTACGACTCCGTGTACATTAAATTAAAAAAAAAAAGTAAGTAGTCTATGTGTTCTTCCAGATTACGCTTTACAATTATAGCAAATTTCATTGAAATCCTTGTAGCAGTTTAGGCTATAAACTCTAACAAACATGAATCTATTTAAACTTTCGCATTTGTTATTACTAGTCCGCCGTCCGTCCGCCCGCGACTC